TGGTTGCTGAACTATGTTGTTATGTGGTTATTTTATAATCTCTCATGGAAAATTAGCCATAAAGGTAGGTAAAAGCAGGTCAACCAAACACTAAAACAGGGTAAATAGGATGGGGCAAATGGGATTATGAGAATCCACCGCAATGCCAAACGCTGCCTTACTGTATTATGAGATGTTTGTATAAATCGAATGTTTGCCTCTTACACAGGTCATACACATTTTACAAGAATAATTACAAATACACATTTTATACAATGTTTAAAGAAAAACAGAACAATCAAAGTGAATTTTCGAAATAGCACAAACTTATGTTCCATATCATTTCCGACACAATCATATGTTAGTTTATCGCAATAATACTGAGGTTCCAGGTCAAATGACATGACATCAAGGTACAAGACAATATGGCTAAAATCTTAAGTATAGTAATTCCAAAACAGATGCAAGCATCCTTGAATTGATCTTAATAAAAGGGACTCTGGTATGAACATTGATATTATGGACACTAAGACTATGGACGACCATGATTTGACAGAACAAAAGTGCAAGAGATATTGAGAACCACCATGATTAGCCACTCTATCTTGTTGAAAATTTGTGGTTTTCAAATAATCTCTTTTTTAGTTAGTACCTTTCACAAGTAACCTCTTTCCAATGGAACAGAAGTGCAGTAAAGTAAGGCTAGTCTTTCTTGGGAGCCACAGTACAACACAGAACATGATTGTGGACTACAGCAGTGGCAACTGGCCTCCAGGCATCACTACCGGCAGAGCTTAGTCTAGGTTGTGTGTGTATTTGACCTACACGTATGCCAGTCGTACATACAAACATTTTATCTACCAATGCATCGCGACGCTAAGCTTTTGTGTTTTCTCAAGATAAAGAACAGAATCTTACTTTTATATAGCAGCAAATAAAACGTTAAACCATTTACCGATATCAACATCTAACCGTCTGATATAAAATGGCTCTTCAGTTACCTGGGTTCGCATTCCAAACTCTCCAGCAAGATCTTCTAGTGGAACACACTTCTGCTTCTGGAAAGTATGAAATAAATCAAAGCAAAGATTGTGGATTTAGTAAGACAAGTGGATCTTACCGATGCAATATACTTGGACAATGATAAGACAATAACACATCCTTCTACAGTTTAACAAACTAATGTTGACAATAATTTCAATGAAACACCTATCCAACATACCATGTTGTACAAAAATTAGATCATACATTAAGTTCTACTGCATTCATGATATCAAAAGCAAGACAGTTGATTTCTTCAAACAATGAATCAGTGGCAGCCGTCAGAAAGCATCACTAGACTACATCCACACACAAAGAAAGTGCACCTTGATGTATTCCACAAAATTGTGGAGCAAACCCTGGCCACCATCTTGCGTCTCACTTTCAGTTGTCCCTTCAGCATCAACTGAAAAGGCCCCTTTCCATTTCTCAAATTCCAGAGCAGCAGCTTCCTCTTCCTTGGCTTTCCGTGCCATAGCTTCTTCTTCCTAAAGCAATACGCAACTTAGCATGAGAGCTCAATATATAACAGCATCAAACAGAAGAATCAGGAGTTAAACAACTTCTAACCAATAATCTCTCTTGGGCCTCACGCTCCTCATCTTTCTTCCTTCTCATTTCCTCGTAACGGTCTTGATTAGTTCTCCTTGAATTCCGTGCTGCTTCATTAGCCTTGCAAGATATATAACCATGCAAGTGAGTAAAAGGCAATCAAATGCAATTATGTTCCATACTCTGCCGTGAGATGAACAATCAAATAAGCAATAGTTCAATTTTTAAGAAATGAAGATATAATCTCTCAATTGACATAAAATTAGCAATCAGTCATCTTGTATAAGGAAATAAGTGTAAGATGATAAGATGTATGCTAACTAGCTAGTGTCAGGAGCTGAAAGCACATTGTGACACTGGCATGTAGATGAACAATTTATATATGCTTGTGTAGCTAAAGTTGAAGGATTTGACTGAGTACTAATTTTGCACAAAATCTAAGGTTCCTAGGTGCAATTGCTGGCATAATAGAAGAATACATCAGTGCAACCTAATTCTTTGACCAACCTGGCGCTGCGCCTCCCGCTCTTCCCTCTCTTGCCTTTTCCTTTCCTTCTTGGAGCCTTTAGGGACATTGGGATCCTCCTCCTCGCTCCCTGACTCATCATCTGCAACTGCACAACCGAAAATTATCAGAGCCCAAGCTAGCTAGGGTTAATACTTACTGATGCAATCGATGGAAAGGCTAAGTCCTTTCGGGTGTTCCACTACCATCACGACTGGTGGACGCTGCCGACGAACTCGCCGCAGCTGGCCTCCTACGCATGCGGCGCGCAGCAGCGCCGCCACGAAGCACCCGCTCCCCCTGGAGCGAACGAAATTAGGCGATGCAAGATTACTGGCTAGGTAGCTACTGGGAGTGGGTTAGATTGGGCAAAGCGATGGAAACCTACAAGTGCGGAGAGGAGGGGTACCTGGAGTGGCTGGGGCGGGAGGCGGTGGTTGTCGACCGCGGCGGCGGCATCGGAGCGGCGGCGCCAGAGGAGGAGGGGGAAGATGGCAAAGACCAGCAGCGCGCACACGACGGCGGCGAAGATCCCGCCGGCGCCGTCCATCTTCGCAGCGTCTGATGTCCCTCTCGAAACCCTCGATTTTGCTTCGTTCTGCAAGGTCCGATGGATCGACCAATTTCTATTTTCCCGGACGAGTCGAATCGAATAGGGGACGCGACGACGACGCAAGTCCTCATGCACTGCAGTTCAGACGCGGGGATGGACGGTCCAGATCAAGGCTCCGTTTGTTTGCTCTTCTATGTACTTTTTTCCTTGCTAGCAAAAGGGCTCATGCGTTAGAACAAAAAAAAATATCGCACGCTCTTAATTTAAAAAATTGTCTATCATAAGAGTATTATTACGGCCCAAACAAAGATGGTCTTTGCTTATAGAAGTGCAAGTTCAAGATTTCACATATCTTCTATTTAAACAAGGCTTGCATGTAGATTTAATACGTACAAAGAAACAGGCAAGTGATTTTTATTTCGTCTCTAATCTTGATTTTGCTGAGATGTTTATCCACAATCCGGACCAGTACCAATCCGGATCAGTACCAATATGAAAGAAAGACGGATAATGCACTGTTGATCAAGATTGCACCCTAGATAGTATCTTTTTAGGGTCTGTCTAGGACACATCTAGATGTGACGTAGTTACGTCACATCTAAGCTGATGTACACTCTGTTTATGGTCTATTTTTTCCTAGTTTTTTTTGTTTCTTGTTCTTGCATTATATATTTGTGGGAGCTTAGATGTAACATCCTTAAAAAACATCTAGATGTGAATTAGACAAACTAATCTTTTTAAATGGTTAACAAGTAAAATAACATCATATTCAGATTCTATATATTTTTCTAATCAAATTCCATATATAACATGTTAAATTTGAAGTTACGGTTTAGAAGATATGAGTATTTAAAAAAAACATTTCATATGTACTGTGGGTTTAATGTCAGAAATATTAGAGTGTTTTTTATAAAATAATATGATGAGCTAAGAATCCCTATTTTTTTTATTAGTAGGTATAGATATATAAGGAAACTCGCAAGCTTTATTAAGATGTCACAACATTTATAGGGACGAATAAAATATCATCGGGCTGGCTTAACTAAGCATGGAGGCCAACCTCTAAAGGAAGTGCATTCGTTTTGACAGCGGGCGAATGCGGTGGGTTTCTTAGCAGTGCGTTGGACTCCTTACCTCTCTTTCCTCTCCTCTTCGATTTTTCTCGAACAATTGTATTTCCGTTCTATGTAATGGAAAGGGGCTTAGCCCGGTTAAAAAAAGTACATGCTTCGCGAGAGCATGAGCCTCGACATTCAATGTCCTATACTCATAACTAGAAATACCAAGAATCGGAAACACCAGCCTAGTCTATTTCATGTATCATTGCTCCATACATTGTTGCACTACCTTCCTTGATTGCTTCAATTACCACCTTACAATCCGATGCCACTTCGATCCTAGGGATCCTCGGCCAGTGCTAGCGCCTTCCTTACCGCCAAAGTTTCAATAGTTGTTGGGTCATTCAAATGATTGAAAACCACAGTCGTAGCCCCCTGATATACTCTTGCATGGTCTCGGCATATTGCAGCTACAACCCCGCGGTCTCCTTCCCTGGCCACCGCCGCATCCACGTTGATCTTAGCATGGCCAGCAATCGGAGGTAGCCAATGCCTTGGCCTCGGTATCGAAAGGGAAGAAGCCGGACCAGCAACCGGTTTTCTACAAAACCTTTATCTCATACATGAAGGAATTGATGAAACAGTGTGTCGCATACGTAGTTTGATATATATCTTTTGGATCGCTTTCCGTCGGGCTGGCGGGTTACTCATAGGGTCACAATCATCAATTTGTAACCCCCCTGCTGCATCGTCTCGTTCATGGCAAAAAGCCAGCTTTTGGCCTCCGTGTTCTGGTTCGCTCACATATGTTCGACCATGTCCTCCTCAAATAGAGTCCATACACTAAGAGACATGCTGCAACTGAGCAAAGAATGTCGCTAGCTATCTGTCGAGCCACATAGGACACACACGTGGGTAGTGGACATGTTAGGTTGATGGAGTACATCCCCTGTCGGTAGTGAGTGCTATGCAAGCCGCTAGATAAAGATATTCAGCTTTCAAGATACATGATTTTTCTAAGGCGGTGACCAAGCTTTGCTCTCCCTTTCTAAGTTTTAGTTCTCTTGTCATTCCTCTAGCCAACTTCTCTTCCCACTTCTTTTTACAATGAGATTGTAAGACGATTGAACCGTGAAACAGGCTTTGCGGTCTTCATTCCAAGCCCAAAAGTGATGTATTGTTGGGGAACATAGCATGCAATTTCAAAAATTCCTACGATCACGCAAGATCTATATAGGAGATGCATAGCAACGAGAGGGGAGAGTGTGTCCACGTACCCTCGTAGACCGAAAGCGGAAACGTTAGTTAACACGGTTGATGTAGTCGAACGTCTTCATGATCCAACCGATCCAAGTACCGAACGTACGGCACCTCCGTGTTCAGCACACGTTCAACTCGATGACGTCCCTCGAACTCTTGATCCAGTAGAGGGTCGAGGGAGAGTTCCGTTAGCACAACGGTGTGGCGACAGTGTTGATGATGTGATCCGTGCAGGGCTTCGCCTAAGCACTACGACGCTATGACCGGAGGCGTAAACTACGGAGGGGGGCACCACACACGGCAAAGAACAATTGATGTGTCTTTAGGGTGCCCACTGCCCACATATATAAAGGAGGAGAGGGAGGAGGCCGTCGGCCTAGAGGGGGCGTGCCAAGGGGGAGTCCAAGTAGGATTCCCAATCCTAGCTGGTCTCCCTTTCCTATTCCAAGAAGGGGAAGGAGGGAAGGAGAGGGAGAGGGAGAGGGAAGAGGGGGTCGTGCCCCCCCCCCTTGTCCAATTTGGACTCCCTTGGGGGGGCGCCACCATACGGGCTCCCCTCTCCTATTCCCTTATGGCCCATTAAGGCCCATAACTTCCCCGAGGGGTTCCGGTAACCCTTCGGTTCCCCGATAAATATCCAAAACGTCTCGAAACCATTTCGGTGTCTGAATACATTTGTCCAATATAACAATCTTTATGTCTCGACCATTTCGAGACTCCTCGTCAGGTCCATGATCTCATCTGGAACTCCAAACAAACTTCGGTCATCAAAAACACATAACTCTTAATACAAATCGTCATCGAACGTTAAGCGTGCGGACCCTATGGGTTCGAGAACTATGTAGACATGATCGAGACACATCTTTGATCAATAGCCAAAAGCGGAACCTAGATGCTCATATTAGCTCCTACATATTCTATGAAGATCTTTATCGGTCAAACCGCACAACAACATATGTTGTTCCCTTTGTTATCGGTATGTTACTTGTCCGAGATTCGATCGTCGCTATCATCATACCTCGTTCAATCGTAATGCTAGGCTAATGGATGGGTCCTGTCCATCACATTATTCTCTAATGATGTGATCCCGTTCATCAAATCACAACACATGTCTATGGTTAGGAAACATAACCATCTTTGATTAACGAGCTAGTCAAGTAGAGGCATACTAGGGACACTATGTATTGTCTATGTATTCACACATGTACTAAGTTTCCGGTTAATACAATTCTAGCATGAATAATAAACATTTATCATGATATAAGGAAATATAAATAACAACTTTATTATTGCCTCTAGGGCATATTTCCTTCAGTCTCCCACTTGCACTAGAGTCAATAATCTAGATTACAAAGTAATGATTCTAACATCCATGGAGTCTTGGTGCTGATCATGTTTTGCTCGTGGAAGAGGCTTAGTCAACGGGTCTGCAACATTCAGATTTGTATGTATCTTGCAAATCTCTATGTCTCCCTCCTTCACTTGATGACGGATGGAATTGAATCGTCTCTTGATGTGTTTGGTTCTCTTGTGAAATCTGGATTTCTTTGCCAAGGCAATTGCACCAGTATTGTCACAAAAGATTTTCATTGGACCCGATGCACTAGTGTAAGTGCATCTAGTGCCCCTTAGTGATTTTGGTGTATTGAAGACTTATAGGTTAAGGGACTAATATGTTTGTGATTGTACACAGGCTCTATAAGTCGATGAGGAGTTTGATATTTACAATGAATGTCGACTCCTAAAAATGAATGTCTTCAGCTGAAGACTTTGGTTCTCCTAAAGTCTTTGAAAGTGAAGAAATTGGTGTGACCTTGAAGACTTGGATATTCATGCGAGGATTATGAAGCGTGAAGACTTTTGTTTTCGGAGTTTCGTTTTCTCCTTCTTGAGTCATAGGAAACACCATACTATTAAAGGGGGTTGAGGTAATACTAAGGAAACAGATTTCCAAGTGATGCTCATCTCCAAATCCGACACCTACCCAATCCTTTCGAGTGAGGCCATTGGAAATCTCATATTAGTTCAGTCAATTTCTTCAGTGATAGAGACGAAGATCTTATGGTCTCTGAGGAATTTGTTCTGACTGAGGAGTTAGGAATTCGCTAGTGTGGATTACCTACACAGTGAGGAACATGATAGCCCTGAGGAATTCAAACCTCAAATCCGACCGTTGTTGTGCTACGCGCCAGTTGTCCAAAATATCCTATCACCTAACGGTCATATCATTGAAGGGCATTTATGTCTTATCATGCCGGGCTGCTCCTTAGGCTATAAATAGCCGCCCCCTACAACCACTAGCTGGTTGTCTGCTCCGAGAGAAACTGACACTTGTCAATTGAGAGCATCCCATCCTCCGAGGACTTTGAGCTAAAACCATCAAGTGAGGAAAACCCAAATTCCAAACCCAAACACCTACAAACCCAAAGTGATTGAGCATCACTGAAAAGGTTGTTCCTGTGTGGAACTGACGCTTGTTACCTTTGAGGATTGTGTATCCTCTAGACGGTTAGGCGTCATGGTCTGAGCATCCAAGAGGAATTCTGGATTACCGAGTGACCAAGTCTGTGAAGGTTTGGAAGTCACCTGTGAAGACTTACGGCGAGTGTTGGGCGAGGTCTATGTGATCTTAGCTCAAGGAGAATACGGTGAGGACTGTGTGTCCGGGACTGTGTGTCC